AAATAATAAAATAAAACTACGACGTTTCGATCGCAACACAAGCGAGTGTCATCAGGTGGAATAAGTAATATTTAAAAATAATATTTTAAAAACACGCTTTCATGAAATGTACCCTACTCGTAATGGCAGAACTCCACGACTCCAGGAAGTGGCCCCGGAGCTTGCCACGACATAAGGGGCCGTGGTGATTTACAGCCAACGTCAGTTGAGCGTGGACAATTAGACCCAAGCCGAAACATAACATGTAAAAAATAGTTTAAAAAATAGTTTAAAAAAAAGTTTTGTTATTTTTTGATGATAGAATATAGTATTGTCATCGGTATGACATAAGTATACCACGTTTGTAGTCGATACCACATTGGGAAGTGGGTAAAAATTGAGTTACGAGATTTGAGGATACAACAGAGTTAATAAAAAGCGTGTAATAAAAATGGGGGGAAGCTACCAAAGGCGATACGTTTTAAAGGTTGAAAATGGGCGTAGCCCAAGCGTCATGATGCCAGAACGAAGTGGGAGGGGCACAAGTGCCCTCAGTCCAGCACAAGCGGAGAGGGTTACGTTAATGCGAAATCGGAGAATCAAGAGAAAGACGCGAACAACTTGTGGTATGCACAATGCAGGGGCGACACCGCAGGAACTGCAATTGCTGGTCCCATCTTTAGTAAAATAAAACTAACATCGGAAGGTGCCAAGATGGAAACTTCACAGCTAGTTATGACTTAAACTTGTTAATGACGTCCTTCCAACGATTGCTGAGTTGTGAACCCATCCTCGCGGTTGAACTCTGACGAGCGTTTCCGAAACGTCTCGGCCCGCAGCCGCCAAATCGCCGTCACCGACCTGAACGAAGCGCGGTGCAGCAGCCCGCCCAGCTGAGCTCCAGCCGCCATGGCAAAGTGACGTCAGACCCGCGAGATGACGTCATGTAACCACCGCGACCGCGTTGGTTACATGACGTCACGTAACCATGGCCGCGTGGGTTACACGCCGGCACGTCACCACCGCGGCCGCGTATAAGTAGGTTACATGCGGTCACGCGCGAGGATGTAAGTGTGACGTCATGCAACGGGGGCGGGGGGGGTGCGGTGACGTCACGAGTAGGTACGAGAGCTCAGAATCGGAAAATGTATTACCACTGCAGGAATCCGATGAGCTGTGAAGATCTTTTTTTCACAGATGTGGGTCAGTGTTTATAACCGAATAAAAAGACCAGCTTTTAATATAATGTGTAAAGTTGAATTCGCATCAGGCACCAGGGTATACATAATTGCTGTCTCCAACTCTTATGGTCTCCCTATTTGTGCTATGAAGAAGGGCCATTGCCTGAAACGTCGCCTCTTGCATAGTTTTCCTTTGAAGGCCATAACGTGTTATTGATTCTGATTCTATCGACGAGCGTATTTAACACCTTGTGCTGTGACGTCATGTCGCCGATAGGGGTTGACACAAATCTGTAGGTATGTGACGTCACGCTTTTTTGACACTTTATTTTACCTGAAGACGATTGTTTGTGTTGCGATCGGAACGTTACCATTCTATCTACGTGGCTTTACCGAAAGACCCAAGCAATATTAATACAATACGGTAATGTATTTTTTTTACAGGAGCATTGTTCAACACCATTTAAATTCAATTATTGCTTAAAAAAGAGAGTTATTAAGCTTCCTGGTGATGCTGTTGCGTTGGCAGCGGTGTGCAAACAACGAAGGAAGACATTCTACAAGGACACTGGCGTTAGTGGGGGAATTTTTTTTTAACTGTAATAGTCTATAAGATAGGAAGTAAACGAAATTTCATAAATAGGAATGGCTTTTTCCATTAATTTAATACCAAAAAAATTGCATTCGTGTACTCCTAACCTAAAAAAGTACACCTATATCACTTGTCAGAATAATAATAAAGAACTTAAATATTAAAGCGATTTCATAATAATTAATTTAAAACAAGTACTGTATTAACCTCATCAGGGAGCTCACCATGAGATGTGCCGCGTGTTGAAATGACTGGCAAGGCGATGTGGGACGCGTTCGTGTTGCCACTTGCAGGGATTCCGTGACGCTGCCGGCGATCAGAATCAGAATCACTATTTTAGTCTGCAGGAGGAAATCTGAAGAGCTATGAAGTTCTTTCTCACAGATGTCCGGTAGCGGATCGATGACGATGCAATCTCCGGGTGGCTTCTCGTCTGACGATCTCGTGGCGAGCGCGTGGCATTTTCGTCGACGGTGGAAAATGTGTCCGGAAATTTTGGTCAAATAATTTCACGAGAAATTTCGTAAAACCACACTGGCTCACAGATACACACCGGCACACAGATCGGCACACAGATACACTGACACACAGATACAACACTGGCACACGCAGGCATACAAATACACATTTACTAATGTACACACAATGTCCAACGTGTCTAATCAGTACTAAACTCACCACGCAGTTCACCAGCACCCAGGACAAAACTCACCACGCAGTTCACCAGCACCCAGGACAAAACCCACTACACAACTCACCAGCACCCAGTACTAAACTCACCACGCAAATCACCAGCACCCAGTACTAAACTCACCACGTAGTTCACCAGTTTCCGATCGAGATCATAAGCTACGCGTGTGCGTGTGTGTATATTTTACAGAGTTTTATTCAACACACGACACGATACCTTACGACTGTCACCGTGAGCACGCACACGGTTGGCACGACGCTGAACCAAACAGAGTCTCTCCCGTTAGATCGGATTGCCAGCTTGTTTATGGATTATTGTTGTTTTATTTTTCAGTAGCATTCAGCAATAGTCACGCCAACTTGTAGCGCGCTCTAGGCCTCGGCAAGGTAAGGTCATTTACCCTTCTTACCGGGTAAAAGGGTAAAGGTAAAGAGGGTAAGGTGTCGACATGCCAAGGGGTAAGGTAAAGGGTAGGGTAAAGGTAGCTCGGAAGAATTACCCGGTAGGGTAAAGATAGGCTCGTTGCTTTTTACCTTTTACCTTACCTGCTAAAGGGTAAAAGGTAGGGTAGAGTGATTGTATTGTGGTAAGGTAAAAGGTAAGGTAAAGGTAGGCTCTCCTCGAGAGAGGACGACTCAGGGACGCGAGATGGAGGAACCGCAGATGAGCGGGGGAAGGCAGCAGCAGCCGCCACGCGATGAGCTGGGGCTACCAACAATTGCCCGCCCCTCCCCAAGCTCTGCATCCCTCTATATATTAAGGGCGCCACGGTAACGAGATGTTAACTACCTCGCCTGGCATGCAGGAGTCGTGGGTTCGATCCCGACCCTGAAGCCTGTATATTTGGAGTTTGTGTTTCTCTCTCTTTCCCTGTGGTCACGTGGATTTTTCTCCGGGTTCTTCCGATTTTCCCTTCCACATTTTGAAACATGCGTTTCGAGTATTTAGCTGCTATACATTTCCACGTGATGATCAGCACTTCGTTGAGCTATTATTTTGGCCAGGTGCTTCTGAAAAAGAACTGTTATAGCTCAGTGGGCCTTACCTGATAGCATTAAAATAGTAAATAGCAGTAAGGTGTTATCGGCCAATGAATTGGTTTTCATAACCGAGGGAGGAAACCAAAGCACCCAGAGAAAACCCACGTGTGCGTGGGAGGGGGCAACGCTCTATCCCGTACAGACGGAACAGATGGAGTCCACAGTTTAGCTCTACCGCCTTTTCCAGGCAAACCCACGGAATGGCTCCCTCCTCGACGCCCACGGGAAGGGAGTTTCACAACATCTGTGCGGTGATCCACCAACTCCCGCTGCTGCCTCCACAGTGCTGGATTACAGGCAACCGTGCATCGCCACGGCTGCCCGGTCATATAGAGGAGTGCTGGCGCAGTGGTTGGCGCACTGCACTTACCGGCCAGGCCACGTGCGTTCCATTGCTGCCGACCACGGCATTCGTCACCAACGCCCATTGCCCAGAGTGGTGAAGTATGGTCAAACAACTCGCACGACCCAAACGGCGTGGGGTGGCCTTCATCCAGCAGTGGATGGAAAAGGGCATAGACGTATTTATGTACTGTATCTATGGACAGAGTGCACCCACCTTAGAAACCAAAACGGACTGACTTTACGCTGGCGCAAGTGCAATTAGCGAGCACCTATTAAGGCCGTCACGGCGCGCGGCGGCGTGATGTGGCCTATAGCCCCGTACCACACCCGACCACCTTTGTCCGAACAGTGCCGATCTGTACACACAGCTCCACGTGCTAATTTAAGGCTGAGTCGACCTAGGGATCTCGACGACAAAGTTGAAGGCCGTCCAAACTCGTGCCATCACGGCCCCCCTCCCCTGAGCCAACCTTGCACCTCCGATTAGCACGGTTGGCTACGTACGGTGCGAACGAAGTTCATCATACGGTCCGTGCATAGTGGGGCTGGAGGTTACTTATGACCTAAACACTAATCTCATGTCAAACCCGAACACATGCAGCTCAGGTTCAACCCCCTATCCTAACCCCTACCCGAACCTTCACCCTAACCCGTACCCTAACCCCTGTCCTAACCTTTACCCTAACACCTCCCATAACACCGGCTCAACTCCCAATGCGAGAGAGAGTTCCATCACAACAATGCGCGCTACGCACTCGGTCCAGGGCTCGGCAACCTCCGGCTCCGGAGCCGCGTGCGGCTCTTCAAGGACTGATGCTTCGTGGCATCATTCACATCGCATTGCGGCTCTTCAAATATTGATGGGGGTTTTTTTTTACCGAATTCGAAAAGCAATGTCTCTGCTTGTTATTTTACTTGCAGACCCCTGCGCCAAGCACAATCCACGAGGCAATGTGCACTGGTGACTGTGCACTAGTTACTATGTACTAGTCAATGTGCACTACGTACACGTCACCGTGCACTATTAGTCGTTATGTACGAGTGAGTGTGCACGAAGTACTAGCCACTATGTACCAGTTGCTATTTACTAGTCAGTGCGCACGAATGTACTTGTCACTATGTACCAGTTGCTATTTACTAGTCACTGTGCACAAAGTACTGGTCACTGTGCACCGGGCACCGTGGTGGCTGGCGCTGCGCACTAGGAGCGCGTCATGATGAAGAATACGAGCGGGTCGAGGCACGTGCTGAGCGCCGTCACCTGCAGGCACATCTCGTTGAGCATGTACCACCGATGCCTCCCATCGCAGCCCGCTCCCGACGCGTCCGCCTGCGCCGCCACGTAGGGCAGTCGCGTGGCGTGGTAGGGCCCGTAACACACCACGAACGCGGCGAACATCCACAGCAGCTTGAGCAGCGCCCTCATCTCCACGCTCGCCGCCCCGGGCGTCCCCGGCCGGCGTCCCCCGGCGCCGCCCGCAGACGCCGGCCCAGGAGGCAGAAGCCGACGACGAACGCGACGCACGCGATGGCGTAGAGCGCGGTGAGTGCCACGTTCACCCGCAGGACGTAGGGCTCCTCGACTCGACCGCTGTACTCGAAGCAGACGGACTCCTTCCTGGCCGCATCCCTCGTCGTGTTGGTGCCGATGATCTCGAGGTACACCGGGGTGGCGAGCGCCAGGCTGAACACCCAGGCCAGGGCGCACACGGGCAGCGTGTAGGCGCGCAGCACCGCGCGCGCCACGTTTCCGCCGCCGCCGCCCCCCGCGCCAGAATCGCCGTGCCGTCGCCACAGCTGCACGAAGCGGTAGACGCAGAGGCAGACGAAGAGGAGCACGGAGACGTACATGTGCACGTAGAGGAGCGCCGACACGGCCGAGCAGAAGCCCGCGCCGAACGGCCACGAGCGTTCGCGCGCATAGTGGACGATGCGAAAGGGCAGGCTGAGCAGCAGCACGGCATGCGCGGCCATCAGGTTGAGGCCGAATACGGCCGGAGCGCTCTTGAGGTCGCGGGACGCGGGCCCCAGCACTCGCCAGCACGCCAGGCCGTTCCCCACCACGCCCAGCACCAGCAGGGTGCTGTAGAAACCGATCATCCCCTCATTGGAGCCCTGCGGGAGGAATTTGCAGTGCTCCGGTGGCATGCTCGCTGCCCGCTCCCTTGCTCCGTCATGCAGAGGATTCGGTGTCCGGTTTGTTTCGAAAGACTCAGCAGCAGCGCGCTCCGCTGATGGCCGGTTCGATGACGGCCGTTGTCCACCTGGACACGCGGAGCAGGAGGCAAGGTTCCACGGAGACTCGCGAGATGGGACGAATTTTGTTTTGAGATGGAGTTGGAGGTCAAGCAGTGACCTTAGCCTGGAGGGAGCTGCATCTTTTGGGCAAGGGACCTTCCCTTCCTAGTCCCTCGTCAGAGCACAGATGGCTGCCACCTGCAGTCACAACACCAACGCACGACCAGCGATAGTTAATTTTCGCGCGTGGGATTTTATTCTCGATGGGTGGAGCGGTGGCGCAGTGGATTGCACATTGAACCTCTAGCTATCTATCCTGGGATCAATTCCCGGCCATGGTTGCCACCAGTGGCGAGTGGTCCAATCGACCCGTCCATACAGGGCGAACTAGGCAGTCGCCTAGGGCGCCAAGTTAAGTTTGGGCGCCAAATTTGAGGGGGAAAAATACAAAAAAATTACGAAGATGTCAGTATTTTAATTCCCGTGCGCGTACGGAGGGAATATGAATTTTCATGAATTTCTCAATATTCCTGAGAATCTATCGGTTGGACAGATGGACGGACGGGACCAAACGAATCATTATTCCTCTGTTAAAAAAAAATCTGCTTACAAAACATTACACGGAAAATATGGGCCTAAATGTCTCGCAGTTTAGCAAAAAAAACCTCAGCCTGGAGTTGCCTTTGGGATTTGGGGCGCCGATTTCGCGACGTCCCCAGGTCGCCAGTCGCTGGCACCGAGGGTAGGGCCGCCTATTGCTGGGCCCCACACCTCCCCACCACCTTCACCCACCTGCATTGACCAGTGTGGTGAAGTATGTCATCAAACAACC